GACAACAGTTTCATACTGAGCTCTTGGTTTTGGTTATTGAACTGTGGTTATATAAAATGTCAGATATTTGGGGGAATTTTTCTCTAAATCTAAAATTATTTCAAAGTGGAAAAAAATTAAAAAGAGCTGTTTGTTTTCTTTGAGTTGGGAATTGGAAAGTGTTCGACTGCAGGGTTCCCCTTTGATCTAYGTGACACTGGTTGGACAACCTGATTCACTGCCAGATGACTTCATTCACATGCGCAGTTTGTGATCCTGGTGATCCTCAGTTTTTCTTCTGCCAGTGACATCTGGTCCTCCAGGTGCACTAGCGGCTTTCTGGCTGTTTGGAGCACGAGGGTCTAAGTGTAGTTGTGCTTCTTTCATGGTGGCTGGCTTCCAAGAGTGATTATGCCATCAGATGGGGACATGGGAGTTGTCAGTCTCTGAAGGACTGGGCCCATACATTGTCATGGTGTCACTTCCATCACATTCTGTCAGTCAGAGCAGTGGTATAGTTGTCCAGATTCAGAAGAGAGGGCAGAGACCCAGCCTCTCAGTGGGAAAAGTGTCAAAGAATTGTGACCATCTTTAATCTATCACAGATATATCTGTAAGTCTCACTAACTATAAACAACTGAGATAAAATTAGTAAACACAGCATGAATTTGTTTTCTGACAGGAAACTAAATTCTAATGCTGGCTTTACCACTTTGTAACAGTTGTGATATCTCCAAGCCTGTCTCTCAGAGTCTAAGATGATAACGAGTGGTAGAGAGGTTTGAGTGGGGAAAACATAAAATGTTGGAGATAGTAGACAATCAGTACATGATTTAATAGTGATTGCTAGCAAATTTCAGTACTTACCAAATGCAGAGTTATATGCTGTCTAATTTAATCACACCCTTTCCTGGGTGGTATATACCACTTGGGATRGTCAGAAAGGTTGGCACACCAAGCCTTCTGGCTTCGTCGGGGCCTGTCCTGTCCACCTTGGCCACTTTGGATTAGATCATCTCTTGCTGCCTATTGATCTCCACTTCTGCATACTATTTATTTCCCTGTCACTTTAACCCTAAGGAGCCAAGTGCTGATGTGCATCTGGCACTTTTGACACTACCTTTGCATAGTTTGCTCTCAGTGCCGTCAGTACAGCTTTTTGACAGCTTTTCACATAATCTGTCAGCTCCCTCTGAACCCACGAGTGCCTGCTCATCAGAGCCAAGATGTTCAATGTCTTTGTTTCAGTGAGTGCTCAGCTGTCAACCTTTATTTATGCAGGAGGGTGGGTGCTCAATAGTTGGCCTACCAAGGAACACTGTGATCTTCACTTTGGAGCAATTATTCAATTTGGGGCAATTACTTGTAGGTGTTCTTAAAAGCAAAGATGTTGCCAGGACTGCAACTGAATTTTGACACAGCAATATCCAGATCAGTTAAGGAACCACTGCTTCTTGCTGATCTCAATCTATTGTCACTGGAGGAAGGTGGTGACCCTTTCTTTCCATAGCGAGCTGAGTTTTTATTGCCTCATGTTCAATCAGCTCCTTTTTGTGAGTGTTTTTAATATGGAGACAAATGATAGAATCTGGTTTTGGTAGGAGTCACATTTTTGCTCTCTCTTTATTGTCCACTCTGAAAATTTACTTGTCTTTAAGTGGAAGGAATCATTTTCATCCTTTAGAAATTAGAGGACTCATTAAGAGAGACCCAAAAAAGTGATTCATTCACTGTGTTAGTAGCTTTCCATTATTAAAAATAATACTTGACACCACTAATAGATAGAAAGTTTATTTTGGCTCACATGCTTTGTTTTGTAGCTTGCGACTTCTACTATCTATAAACTCTAGAATCTTATCGCCAAACTGATTAGAAGTACATATAAAATAAAATCCAAACAAAATTTTCTCTTGAGGTTGGAAAGAGTTGTTTTCAATATTTAGAGATCTTAAGTTTTTAAGACATTTAAACTTTCTTGTTTCTTTTTCAAGGCTTCGTTACCTCATAGTTTGATTCTGAGATAATTGAAGAAAAGAAGCTCTTACTGTATTTTGAGGATAATTCCATAAATTGGTCTAGTTGAGTACACAAGAAAAAGAATCAACCACAGAAAATTTAGACTAGCTAAACACTTCCTATATATATCACACCAGCATTATTTGGTGAAAATGAACATCAGGAGACTTGTGGGGTGATCCTGGCTACTGAATACATATATAATCTTGGGCTTATCACAGTCATTTTGAAAAACARGAATCATAGTACAGCCTGTGAGAATCATAGATTTCACTGCTGCAATGGAAGCTAGGAGGTGGGGGGAATGTTGAGAAGAACGGCAGAGATGGTGAATGTGCAGAAGTTTCCAAAGAGGAGCGTGCAAGGATTTGGAAAGGAAAGGAGGAGTGGAAAYGTCGTGTAGCAGGGGAGACCAGAGCAATATGAAGATTAGAGAACTGGAGACAAGAGAGGCTTACATTTTGAGCATCAACTTAAGAAACTTGTTGGATCTAGTCCTGGTGGCAGGTTGACAAACACTGGTTGTGAGAAGTTATTGCTGCCTTGCAGTGTGACATAGGGTAGAAGGACTRGAGAGCAGGGGAGCGGGTCTTCTTTATCTTGTCCTGCAAGATTTGGCAGGTGCTGCTCCTCAGATAGGGCATTGATATTGAGGATATACAAAGAATTCAAAAACTTAACACCAAAAAAACCAAATAACCTGATTGATAAATGGGCAAAGAACTAAACAGACATTTCTCAAAAGTAGAAATATGAATGGTCAACAAATGTATGAAATAAAACCTCTAGCAATTAGGGAAATGCAAATTAAAAACATACTGAGATTCCACTTCACTCTAGTCAGAATGGCAATTGTCAAGACTACAAAGAACAATAAATGTTGGTGAGGCTACAGGGAAAAAGGTACGCTCATACATTGTTGGTGGGACTGAAAATTAGTGCAAACACTCTGGAAAGGAATATGGAGATGCTTCAAAAAACTAGGACTGGAACCTTCATTTGAATTAGTTATCCCACTCCTCAGTATATTCAAAAGATTTAAAAGCAGCATGCTATAGTGTTGCAGCCACTTCAGCGTTTATATCAGCACAATTCACAATAGTCAAGCTATGGAGCCAACCTAAGTGCCCTTCAACAGATAAAGAAAATGTGCTATATATACAAAACGGATTATTACTCAGCCATAAAGAAYAATGATATTATAGCATTTGACAGTAAATGGATGGAACTGGAGACTGTCGTGCTAAGTGAAATAGGCCAGCCCCYAGAGGTCAAAAGTCATATATTTTCTCTGATATGTGGAAGCTAATCCAAAATAAGATTTGTTCTAAAAAAAGGATAGAAGAACCATTAGTACAATGGACAAAGGGAAATGAAGGGAAGGAAAAAGGAATGGAGTAGGAAAAGACGGTAGAATGAATCTGACCTAACAGTGAATCTCACCATCATATACATCCAACAAGACACTAATTTAAAATATATATATATATATATATATATATGTAAATAGCAGATAGACCAATAAGTTATAAGTAAATAGCAGATAGACCAGTAGAGTAGAGGGACAGGAACAGGGAGTGGGAGGAAGGGAGGGGAAGGGGAAGACCTGGGGACTGAATTTGGACAAATTATATTCCTTGCTTTTAAAATTATGTCAAAATGAATTCTTTTGAACCAACAACAACAACAAAAAGATTTGGCAGGTGGGCATCAGCTAGTGGGTGAKAACCAATTTTGCTTAATTATGACCCAAGTTTCTTGATCTAGAATAGTCTTCTTTCTTTTTTCTAACTGGCAGATTATAATYACAGCAGGTCTAGAATCATCATTTGGTATGATAATGAACTATGTCAATTTGTTTTTGTCTCCTGTCCTGGTTATACTTACTTCCTACCATTTTTGGTTTCTTAAAGAATTGACTGAGTAATCCCMAAATCAAAACCTTTAGTTTAATTTTGTATCTTAGCCAACCAAATGTTTTGTGCTCATCATTTACCCTTTCTACATTGTGTCATAGTTTTAGTGGTTGAATATGAAAGGCTACCTTAGCAAATCATAGCAGGAATGCACTCTGGGATTCAATCCTAATCATCACTTCTGATTTTGGATACAAAAGGCATGGTTTATTATTTCATAATATGTTTGGTACAGCTCCATATCCAAAAGGCATAGGTGGTATTTGTCACCAYGGTGAAGAGAACACACTGAATGAATCCTATAGTTTTGGAAGCTATCAGCTCACACTTGAAAGCTCTTTCTTCTCATGTATGATGACTTACATGGTGAGAAAACAGCACCTTTCCCRGCAGCCTGTTTCTGATTCTGTCACCTTAACTGTGTAAGGTTCCCTGTCTCCTAAATGTAACTGCTCAACATCTCCTTCAGTCTTTAGGCTGAGCCCAGACCTCAGCTCCAGTGTTTCTTCTCCAGAGGCTGTTTAGTTTATCCCTACTGAAATAGGCTTTTTAGTAAAGAAAAGGAAAAGGAAGTTTGGCCRATAGCCCCTGATTTCCACCTGTAGTTTTTGCACTTCAAAGAAAGCACTAGAACAAACAACACTACACTAAGGRTGATGTTGGAAATCCCGAGAGCATCAGTAGCATGGACTGGCTTGGTTTTGTCTGCCACTGGCAGTTTAACTCTGTCACCCAGATGTCTGAACTAGGATTAGGAATTTCAATTAATGGTTTTACACTTCTGTGTTATTTTTGCCATCTTGAGCAAGGAACTTGACTTTTGCAACCCTTAGCCACAGACAAATAACCCAGAAGTAGATAGAAGAAAAATAATAATTTTATATGAATATTAATTAAATAGCATGTAAATTTTTCACTATGAATCTCAGAGGGGCAAAATACCTTTTCAAAAAATCTTAATTAGTATTGTATGTGAAGATTAAAGCAATTAGGAATTTTATTAATGATGTTTGGAAGTCTTGGGTAGTACTTAATAAAACAGTTGTAGGTGTGATAGTATTGATTTTCACTGTCCCTTTTATCTTTCAGGGTTTGAACATAATCTTTCATGTTGCCTTGGCTCTCCTAAAGGTAAGTTTGTTTCAGTCTTAAATTATCAAACTACCTTAGCTCTTTACGTTTGAAACTGGAATAAGCCTTTGAGTCATTCTAGGTTCTTGTACCTAGAGAAAGATGGCTTCTCTAGGAAACTCGGATCTTCCCTCCTTCTCATCCTTTTTTATTGCTGTGCATTTTGAGTTTGGTTTTCCTATAATCCATCTAATCCTGCTATCCCAGTACTTCTTCCTATAACCTAAAAGGTGCTTTCCCTTACGTGAGTTGGATAATGTGAGAAATCTGAAAGTTAAAACATGTTTTCTGTCAAAATGAAGAAAGGGTTTTTTCTTAAAATACTTCTTTCCATAATTACATCCCTGGAGTACCTAAACATATAATTAAATTATTAAAAGGATTCTATAATACACTGACTTAGAAAGAAATTGCTACATTTCACTTTGCAGTTCTTTCCCTGATAACTGGAAATTTATAAGACATTTTAGAATTCTATTATAATTACCTTGTTGGATTTTATATCAACATATTAATACAGCCTTAATAGTGTGGTAACAGCAAGATGTTTGCTGCAGAGTTGATGAAAATAACCCAGACAAAGATGGCATCCTGCTGTTGAAGGCTATAATTGCCTTGCTCATAAAGGCTCAGGCCTATCCTTTCCCTGAGTCAGATGGTGGTTGAGTCAGACTCTTGCAGATTTGGTTCTAATTTCAGTCCTGTTGGATGACCTTGGGCAAATTACTCTAAGTGCTCTGAACCTGGGTTTTGAAATAATAATAAAAATTAATTTATGGCATTGTTATTATAATTAAGGTGGTATATAAAAGTTCTTTATATAATGTCTAGAAAATTTTACTGCCTAATAAATGTTAGCTGTCATGATAATGATTAATATTGTCATTTACAAAGTACTTAGAATATGTTCCTAGATCCACCATTATTATTTGGAATCCCTCAAAAGTTTTCTTGGGAGGGTTCCTTGACAGATTTAGAGAGCTTTGATAGATAACCTCTACACACCTTGATTCTAAATAAAGCATGAAATAACATGGGTCCTCTGAAACTCTAGAAGCAGATTGCTGCTTGTGATTCACAAGCACGTGCTTTTTGTGAAGTTCATCAAATGTGCTTTTTTCATTAAATCATTTTGTGTTTGTATATGGACAGTTCTTTTGTGGGGTCAGTGCATGGTACCAGGGATTGAGCTCAGGAACACTAAACCACTGAGCTACATCCCCAGCTCAATTTTGTATTTTATTAGAGACAGGGTCTTACTGAGTTGCTTAGCACCTTGCCTTTGCTAAGGCTGGTTTAAATTCATGATCCTCCGAGCTACTGGGATTACAGGTGTGCACCACTGCACCCAGTTTATATGGACAATTTTTATGCCAAAATTACTATACAAGTTAGGAAAGATATCTGAAATTTTATTTTAAATAAAATAACACAAACATATTTGCTTTTATCTTTTAATGAAGTCATGAATCGATCTTGAATTTTTGTCATTAAAACAAATCAAAACCACTTAGTTGGGGGTGATGGCACATTCCTGTAATCCTAGCTGCTTGGGAGGCTGAGCCAGAAGCATTGCAAATTTGAGGCCAGCCTCAGCAACTTAATGAGGCCCTAAGATGCTTAGCGAGACCCTATCTTAAAATAAAAAATTTAACAAAGGAGGCTGGTGTTGTAGCTTATTGGTAGAGCACTTGCCTAGCATGTATGAGGCAGTGGGTTCGATTCTCAGCAACACATAAAAATAAATAAATAAAATAAAGGTATTGTGTCCATCTACAACTAAAAATATTTTTAAAAAATTTTAAAAAGGGCTGGGGATGTGGCTTAGTGGTGAAGAGCCCCTGGGTTCAGTCACCAGTACCAAAACCAAAACAAAACAAATCACTTTCCAACATGCCCTCTCAACAGACAGGGCTAGAATAAGACCTTTATAGACTTAATCAATTAAAGCATTATGTAATTCAGACTAAATGCAATACTACATTCTAAACAAGTATAAGGAAGTTCAACAAAGTTCTGATTTTCCTATCATATCTAATTTTCTTTTTAAGTCTTGGACATTTCATCTTTCCCAAGTTACCTTTCCCATACTTTTGGTGGCCTGTCCACTGGTGTTTTCAACACATGCTCATTAGTCTTTTAGGTAACCCAGGCCTACCCCTGTGGCTATCAGAACTTTATTTGTCAGCCCARTACTATAGATGTTAATTGTCTTCCTGGTTAACATGTTTACTTTTCTGTATTATGGCCATTTATTTCTGAGCTTGTTAACCTAGGCGTGCTTGGGCAGAGTCATTCTTTGGTCACTGTGCAGAAAAGYTTTTTATATCTTTAGCAATATTTAGGCAGTCTTCAAACATCATCTCTGAGAATTTGGCTAGTTAGAAAAGATAGAAGGAGAGTGTTTTTCACCAGTAGTGACTGATATTTTTTATCTACTTTGTATAAATCCTGAAACTGACTCTTCATGGAGACTGTATATATAGGGCTAAATTGAAGTATATGTCATTGATCTGATTGTCCCCACCTGGCAGAAAGAATAACAGAATGTATATGACAGTAGAATCTTAATAGGGATTTCATTCAATCTCTCAATCAGTTGAGGAGTGTGCGACCTTAATATTGAGTCTTCCAATCTATGAAAACAGAAAGTTATCATTTATTTAGGTCTTTAATTTCTCTCCATAATATTTATAGTTTTCAGTGTACAAAAGACTTGCCCTTCTTTTTAAATTTGTTTTGAAATATTTTGTTGATGCTATTGTGAATGGGATTATTTTCTTAATCTAACTTTTCTTCTTAATTGCTAATATCTAAAAATGAATTTGCTCTTTCTAAATTGGTCTTGTATTCCACAACCTTGCTGAACTCATTTTTAGTCATTTTACATGTGGGGGGAATCTTAGGATATAACCTGTGTGTATGCAGATTATATTGAGCTCTGTCCTCCTACAGAGGTAATTTGACTCCTTCCTGTCTAACCTAGGGGGCTCACTTTCTAGAAGTGGCCGYAGCAAAATCCTCATCGCGTTTGCCTTCTTTCAGGAAAGTTCCTTCCTCACACTCCATTTCTGGATTGCCATGGCCACCACTGTGGCCATGACTCTGCTGCCACAGTTGGCCATAGTCTGACCACCTCTGTTTACTAAGGATCAAATTGCCTCACATGAGGAGTAGAAAGCCTTTTCCATAGTCTGAGAAAGCTTCCCTGTGCAGTTTTTTTGTTTTTTTTTGTTTTTTTTTTTTTTTTAAGAGAGAGAGAGGGGAGAGAGAGGAGAGAGAGAGAGAGAGAGAGAGAGAGAGAGAGAGAGAAAGAGAATTTTTAATATTTTTATTTTTTAGTTCTCGGCGGACACAACATCTTTGTTGGTATGTGGTGCTGAGGATCGAACCCGGGCCGCACGCATGCCAGGCCAGCACACTACCGCTTGAGCCACATCCCCAGCCCTCCCTGTGCAGTTTTTTAATCTGTCATCACCGTGATTCCGAGTGGCTCATGGGAAACTTTAGTATACAGCACTTTATTATTTTTTTAAAAGATATTTTGGGCATATTGTATTTGTTTGCTTACTTTTGATTTTTTTTTCCCCTCAAAAATTGTCCTGTCCATTCCATTTACTTCAGTGTTCAGCTTTTTTTTTTTTKGGGGGGGGGGTCACAAACGGGGAGAAGAGGAATGGAGAAAAGAGGCTTCATAGAGAATCAAAAAATAATAATAATCCAGAATTAGGACCTATTTATTAAAGAGAGTTGAAAAACCAGTTATTTGTTTAGCAGCAGGCTGATTAGGTAAGTATTTCCTTGTCCTTCCAAAGGATGACTCCCCCTTCCTTCTCTGCCGTCATGGAAAAGAAGGACTAAYTTGGGCCCTAGCCTCTCCACCTGCCACTGTCCCTGCAGGACTCGGGGTACCGCAGGGCAAAAGGGGAAGTGGAAAACCACATACCTGAGACTGGAAAGGGAACATTAGCTCCCTTGGTGTCTGACACGCCCATTGAGCTCAAAGGTCTAGTTTCTGTGCTTGCAGATGGTGACATAAGGAAGGACTAAAGTTAGGGATGTCATTTCTGCAGTCAACGACCAGGTTAGAAGTCTGAAGATCTGAACAGAATCTGTTTGGGGATGGTTTCTGCACAGTTTTATACTAGCCTGAAGAATGCCTGCTGTCCTGTTGGTGGCAGTAAAACTCCAGTCCTCGATATTGTGGAAATGGTTTGTCCCAGGGTGCATCTAGAGTTCTGTGACTTGGGCGTTCCTGTCTTCTGGTTCCTGCCCCAACATCATTTGTTGTCTGAGTTGTTTGTTTTTAGCCTTGCTCTGGTGCCCCTTCAGTTTGATAATAGGTTAGTCTCAGGTGCTGTCTAGTAAATGCTACAGCCAACGCAAATGCAGGCCTTCTAGTTCTCTATAGTGAATACTCAAGAAAGTTTAAAGTTTCAGAAATGGTGTATTTAATGAGTTAGAGGTCTATATTAAAAATCTACCATCACAGTACCAATGCATACGTTAAATCATACCTAAATTTGTTGAAGCAATTTCTCATTATTTGTTTCTCATGAGACAATCCAGAACTCCAGGAACAAAAGATAGCTGAATAAACACATCATGTTCCAGGTAGTCAGTAATTATTTTGAAGTTAATGTACCTTAAGAAGCATGAGGTCATTTGACATAGATGAGAACAATAATCTGATGTCCTCTTTGCCCTGTTTTTATGATCAAAATAAGCACTCAGCATGAACTCATTCAAGGTTTCATTGCCTTTCTTAAAAATCTTTATCCTCATYTTCCTCTGCTTTGCTCCTGCCTTTAGCAAAGATGTGTTCTGCATTCACTCCAAGGCTGACTTCCCACCTGTGTCTTTGACCCCACCTTTCCTGCCTGCCTTTGGAGAAGACTGTGTTATTTGGTTGGTTGGTTTACTTACTCAACAGATGTTCTGAGAGTGCCTCCTGTTTCCAGGTTCTGGGCTGGGTGTGGGGATACAGAGACCACATTTGA